ATGACTTGAAACAATTATGGTCTATTGGTGTACAAATATTTGACAACTTTCACAAATAGAACTTCCCAATGCGAGCCATGCTTATGTGGACCATAACAAATTTCCTTGGCTATGGAATGGTTTCTAGTTGGAGCACACATGAACATTTGTTTTGTCCATATTGAATGGAAATGACTCATGCCTTTTACTTGCAATATTGTCGCAAAATCTCATTTTTTGATTGTTATCGACAGTTTCTTCCTCCAACACCCATTTAGAACAGATGCAATTAACTTTTGTAAGGGCTGGTCAAAATTCGACCTTCCCCTTCTGCAATTAGATGGTCAATTAGTTTGGCATCTAGGTACAATATTATCGAATGTTTTGTTTGCACATCCATTAGTTAACTAAACTATACCCATGTTTGGTGAAAACCACAATTGGGTCAATAGGAGTAATTTTTAGGAACTCCTTTACTGGGAGGATAACGTAATCAGATATAATCCTGATATCATGTATTGTGAGAAGAACTTTTTTGACAATATCATTCACACTGTCATGGATGACCCATCAACAAAAGACATTGTTAAGTCTACAATGGACTTGCCATTGTATTGTGATAGGGAACAACTAAACTTTTACTACAACAGTTTTGATTCATTTTGTAAACCAAATGTGAGTTATGCACTTAATGCGTAACAGAAGAGAATTTTGTGTACATGGCTTAAACATTTGTGATTTCTAAATGGATTTGCCTTAAACATCTCATGTTGGGTCAACTTAAATGAGTTGTGCTTAGTTGGCTTGAAGAGTCACAGCTGCCATGGATTCATGCAATGCCTCATTTAAATTGCTTTCTGTGGCCTTTTGTTGGATTCCATATGGGGTTCATTAACAAAAGTTAGCAATTTCCTTTGGGCACCATGTTCCCCTATTGTCAACATACAATGCATGGTGGTTTGGGAGATGAAGATTGTTGAAACAATATGTAAGTTGGAAAGAATTTTCCAGCTATCATTTTTTGATTGTATGGAGCACCTCGCAATCCATCCTCCTTTCAAGGCCCAAATTGGTGGTCCCGTACAATTCTGTCGGATGTACCCATTTGAAAGGTAATGGGAACAAGTTTGCACAGATTTCATATTCTACAAACCATGGAACCATTTTCTTTTCCCATTTACTTAATATATATTTTACAGATGGATGTGTAATCTTAAACAAATGATTGGGAACAAAAATCATGTTGAGGCATCCATTGTTGAATCATTCATCTTGTATGAAATGACACATTTTTTCTGCATTATTTTGGTAAGGATGTTGAAACAACTTGGAATCAACCCCCAAGAAACTTGGTAGAGCTCCACATTCTAGACACGTGCAATTATCTATATTTTCATGCCATGGGCAACCGATAGGTTCACATTCACGGACCAGATGTTTAACTATTCAAGAGATGCAAGCTATTGAACTTTATGTCCTACTAAACTACAAGGAAGTTGATGACTTTCTCAAGTGAGATATGCCAAAATTGAACTCATCTTAAATATCTTTAAATAATACTTTTCCAATTTTGCAGGCACCAAAAGTAAAGTTTCCTTATTTGGTCATACTTAACTATGTATATATTTTAGCATATTTGATGAAGAAGTTGGTGGAAATATAACCCTTTCTAAACTACAAGAAGCATGCACAAGAAGTTGTTATGTGGTTCAAAAATAAGATAAACAATATTTCTTCATCATATTAAGTTGCTTACAATATAACTATATCCCTATAGATATATAGTGTTATACAATATATTAACTCCCTTATTCAATGATATAAAATATCCATTTTATTAAGCATTTAAGTAGACATTTCACATATAACTTGTACATATACATTTGGTAGGTGTTAAATGGTTGTCATGAAGTGAACAAAGTTTTGCACTACCTTATACTGGGGCCAACATGAACAGTGAACGTGTACATAGGTTATTATGTTAATAGTTTTAGATTTATGACACAAGAGATGAGTAGCTCATGACAAATGTATAATTATGGTGTATGTGTGAAAAGGAACAACCATAACTAATGTGGCCGAGATTGATTATTATGGTATACTTAATGAAGTAATCAAGCTACTATATTACAAACCGCATGGGGGCTTAAAGACAATTGTTTTATTCAATTATGATTGGTTTGATACAATTAAGGGAACGCATGTCAACCAAGGTTACGGCCTTGTTGATGTAAACCCATGGTACAAACTATTGACTTGTGAGATATTTTGCTTGGCAAGCCAAGCAACCCAGGTGCATTACACAAGTTACCCATCAAACGAGCGAGCAATTTGTAGGTGGTTCACAGCATGCAAAATATGGGCAAGACACTTCTTTAGCCTCAACTGACATGGATGAAATATTTTAGAATGATGAGCCACTATCTATGCAACTAGTTGACCATAGTTTTGATGTTGTATTAGTAGTATCCATGGAGTTACATGTAGGAGGTGCAACAGTGGTTGATATAAATCGATTTGAAGCTGATGATAGTGATAAAAAATGTAAATGAAAAAGATGAAGGATATGAAATAGCGAGGGATATTGATGTTGATAGTAGTGATATGAGAGATAGTTTGCCTATTAAGTACATATTATGTAATAGTTGAAAAAATTTGTGGTTATAAAAAAGTACTATTGTTTGCTGGACATCCTATTTAACGAATATGCTTTTTGATGAGTACTGACTTTTTCCCAATTGTTGTTTCATTGCCATTGTTTATGGTTCTATAAATGCTTATAAAAGAAAAAAGTAACTTATTTTACATTGTTGTATGTTTTATAGGATGTGAGCTGGGCTAACGAACTCTACACGTAGTCATGGCACAAATCGGAGAACAGCCCATAAAGCTGCAATATATCTAGGGTTTAAATACCATTTCGGTCCCTCAACTTTTCACTTTGGCACCAAAATTATCCTTCAACTTTAAAAAATACCAAAATTATCCTTAAACTTTCATTTTCGATACCAAAATAGTCCTTCTGCCAATTAAATAAGGCAAAAACCAACATTTAGCCCCTTACCTTACAAAGTTGGTAGGTTTTAACCCATTACATTATAGCATGACAATTTTAGCCCTTTACCTTACAAAGTTGGTAAGTTTTAGCCACTTACTTTACAAAGTTGGTAGGTTTTAACCCTTTACCTTATATTATGATATTTTTAGCCCATCACCGATACGAATTAAAGAAAATAACTCTCACTTAATATCATGTTATAACATTCTATTAGTTCTGTTAATTAACTGTTAACATCTGTTAATATTCCGTTATAAAAAATATGAAATTTAAATTCAATTTTATTTGTTAGTTTTATTAATAGAATGCTAACAGAACTAACAGTCAGCTAACAGAACTAATAGAACATTAAAATCTAATGTTAAATAAGGGTTATTTTTTTCAATTCGTACAAATAAGGGGTTAAAAGTGTTATAATATAAGGTGAGAGGCTAAAACCTATCAACTTTATAAGGTAAGGGGTTAAAACCTACTAAATTTGTAAGGTAAAGGGCTAAAAGTGTCATATTATAAGGTTAGGGGTTAAAACCTACCAATTTTGTAAGGTGAGAGGCTAAATGTTGGTTTTAGTCGTTAAATAGACAAGTGGCACGTTTACTTGCCAGCAAATCAATTCTTTTTTTCTTAACTAATGACATGGAAAAAAAACATAATGGGCCATCCTTTTTTATGAGTTGACATTTTTATTTAATTTAAAAATAATGATGTCCTTCTCTTTTTCCACCCACGTCAGAAAAAAAAAAATGTCTTCTTCCTCTTTCACTTTCTCTCTCTTTTACCTTTCCTTTTCTCTTACATTTGAAAACCCTAAAACTTAAAGCTTAGCATCTCTATCAACCTTCCTCCTTCTTTTCCCTGCTCATCCTTCTTCTTTCTATTTCTTATTCTTTTTCTCTTTTTCTCTTCTCCTTTCTTCTTCCTCTTCAAATTTGGGTTTTTCTCAAACCCAGATCTAGGTTTTTTTGAACAAGATGGAATGGTGATTCGAGAAAACAACATCATCAAAAAGGACTTCCAGTGATGAAGAAAACGACACGAGCTTTGGTAGAAGATTCGGAGTTTGTAGAGCAGAATCTCAGTGTGATTGATATTTGGAAAGCAAGAAGAAGGGAGAAGAGAGAGAGAGAGAATTTTCCAAGAAGCAGAGTTCGAGAGCTGCAAAAGCTTGGAAGTTCCCTGTGCTTGCTCTAGTATCATGAAGGTAAAAGAGAAGATATCATATTCTCTTATCCGACATGTTCTTCGATTTTCAATTCTGGTCTTGAAAATTTCTTTTTGGGCTTTTGTGTGTGTGTGGAGATTAAAATAGGAATTAATTTTTCAACAAATACCAGTTTGCACATACTATAATAATTTAACAATAACTTTATTTTCAGATATCAGATAGAGGTGATTCTTGAAGCATTCGAAAGCTAAGAAGCGGAGTAACAATTTATCTTTTGTGAGTTCAACCCAGTTCAATTAGTTTCAAGATAGATTTTCAGTTTGAATGCAAGATTTTTGACAGAAGGTTGGCATATTGCGCGAAGAAAAAAAAAGAAGAGAAAAATAGAACTGGGTAGGTTGTGGGCTGGTAGCATACCAAGCCCAAAAGGGTCAAAACCCTAGTAGAACATGTAGAAAGAAAAAAGGAAAAAAAATTAAATAATACTATATAAATATAGTATTCTCTGCACACAAAGGAGATGACGAAGAAGACGCTGCTGCCGCGTAAGCCTATGTTTTGGAGAACTTTGCACAACAACACAACAACCTCGGTTTCCCTTCTTCTCTAGCGCTGTTTTGATGAAAATCTGCACGAGATCGACGTCGCCCAACCTGTAGTTGCAGAGAACTGAGGTACTCCAAATCTTAAGTCTTCACTTCAGCTATCTTGCAAAGATCCGAGGTGGATTCTCGGGGTAGACACTCCAATGCTTAAGTCAGTAATAATCAGAGCTACCAGTTATGGAGTGTAAGTAAAAGCTGAGCTCGAGGTTCATTTTCCATACCTCTGTGAGGGGGACCCCCGGGGGTATTTATAGGCCTTCAAGGGGATGTCCACGTGTTGGATCCTCCAAGAAATCAGGGGGACAGGTGTCAAACATCGCAGGTGCTTCCCATGAGAGACTGGTGCGTACGGAATTGCTGTGGAGCAAGAGCAGAGGGGACGAGCTCGAGTGCGATCGAGCTCGTCGCCCTTCGACTAGATCGAGGCGGCTAGGTAGAGGCTGCTCCGACTGAAGTTGCACACCACGGAAGGCTGCGAGGTGCGTGACTTTGGACTGCGCCTCTGGTCTCATCTCACGACCTCCGTCGTCATACCTCTATTGTCTCATGACCTCTGTCGTCACACCTCTGCTATCTCATGACCTCTG